CCTTCCATTCCTCCCTCCCTCGCTTCTTCTCTCCTTCTCTCCCTTCCTTGTCCCCTCCCTTCTTTCTTCCCTCTCTCTCTCTCTCTCCCTCCCTTCCTTCCTTCTATTTTCAGTCACCACTCAATGACATCTTAAGTTTCTTTGGACTTGAGTAGATTCAAGTTCCTTATTCTGAATTCCCCAACTTGGAGTTTGGCCAGATGCATATTTGAGCTTACTTGATGGACTAGGTATTTCTGAAGATGGCAGAGGTGATTCTGGGAGTGACGATGATGATGCTGGAGATAAAAGTAGAGATGATGAGGATGAGGATGAGGATGGTGGTAATCCTGCTGCTGCTGCAGGAGATGAAAACAAAGACTTCTGTTCCTATTTGTCAAGGAAGAACTGTTCATCACTTTATTATTATGAAATGAAGAACAAAAGCAAATGACTGAGGCCTTCAACCTTCTTTCGATTGCTATTAATACCCTGATATTACATCTGGTCATACTTTTTGAATGGCATTGGAATAGAGGTTTGGCCTATGATTTCATTGGTGTCGTTGGTCTTTGGTTACTAGTGAGATTTTGTTGCCCTTCAGGTGGAGAAGCAGGCCTCCAAACAAACGCTCTGTTATTTAACTTTGTTGTTCAGTGGTTTACAGCTGTGTCAGACTTTTTGGAACCCCAGCTGCGGTTTTCTTGACAAAGAAATTCCTAAGTGATTTGTCATTTCCTTCTCTAGCTCATTTTACAGATGAGGAAGCTGAGGCAAACAGGGTTAAGTGACTTGCCCAGGGTCACACAGCTAGGAAGTGCCTAAGGTCAGATTTGAACTCAAGAAGATGAATCTTCCTGACTGCAGGCCTGATCAACTGTGACCCCTAGGTGTCCTGTTATTTAACTACTATGGAAATTAAGTGTGGAGATTTAGCTTGGCAGCTCATCTGTATTTAGATTTTTAGAAAATTGCCTGGGATGTTGAGAGATTAAGCAACTTTCCCAGAATCACACAGATAGTATGTTGAGAGGTATGAATTGAACCCCTATCTGCTCCTTCCTGACTCTAAAACTTCTGACTCTCTCTAGATGTTGCCACCTTAACTCATCTGCTTTTTTATCTTGGAATTTCCATCAGCACTTGTGTCTTTTCCACACTGCAACATCCCTTTGCCATGCCGGCCCCTTCTCCCACTGGTGAATTGCTTCTAGGGGTTTCCATTTTAAGGATCATTCCATACTTACCATGCCTCATGCCCCTCCCCTGGTGCTTCTGACTCTGAACTTCACCACCCTGCCCCAACTTACCTTCCCCCACCATCCTATACTTCTCAGCTCCCTTTTATGTACTGTCTTCCCCCATTGGAATGTAAGCTCCTTGAGGACAGAGACGGTCTTTCATTTTGCTTGTATTTGCATTCCTGGTGCTCCTCACAGTGCCTGGTACATAGCTTACTAAGTGCTGGTTACCAATACTGATTCTAGAGCTCTGACCTCACCACTGAGGCTACCTTCCTTGAGAATGTCATTAGGGGCAGGTCTACTCCATAGAAATAAGTATATTCTACTCTTAAAAGAGCCATAGCAAAACTAGAATGTACTTTAGGGAAATACTGAGGATTGGTTCAGATTGTTACAAATCAACTGCACTTACTTGTCAACGGGATTAGAGTGAATCAGTTGCTAGTTAGAATAAAAGAAAAATGCCTTATATCCTATTGCATCTGGGGTAATACCCCAAACTACAAAGCTTATGGAATAATCTAATATATGGACTAATCAGTAAAATAGGTGAAAAACATTATAGAGCTCTATGCCTTGAAATGAAGCAATTGGAATGGAACCACCAGTTGAATGTAAGCTTTTTGAGGGAAGGGACAGTTTTCTTTCTGTCTTTGTATTCCACAATGCCTTGTACATAGTAGGTGTTTAATAAACACTCAAATTGAATTCAATATGAAGTTTGTAGAGAAAGTGTAACTGAAGGAAGAATGATCCTGGAATAACAAAAAATAATCTTCATCAATCCTGACTCAAGTCTATTCTTGGAATAATGACAATGAATCACTTCTAGGCTGAGGACACTGACTTTTGCATAAAAAGAATGTGCAGATTAGCCAAGAACCAATTGGAAATACACACAAGTAAAAGATATTTTAGGGGTATAGGGCCAGGTCTTTCAGAATCTGTTAGTGTGGAAAGATGAAAACATTAATAAACATTGGAGTAGGTCATTAAACCTGTCTAGTAGGCTCTTTGAATTCTGCGCATGAAGCATGAGATTTGAGTTTTTTAGAGAGGGAACATTCATTCACCTGAACAGAAGACACTGGCATCTTCTTTGTGACCACAGTTGTGGGTGAACCAGTCATCATGGGAGCACTGAGCCAGGTGGCTTTCCTCTCCATTGCACTGCACATTGGCCAGGAGAATTTTCCCTGAGCCTGGGCCAAAGTGGGCCCCATGGGGGGCAGAAAGAGCCTGTCCACAGCCGAGCTGCCTGCACACCACACCTGCTTCCTTCAACTCCCAGTGGTCACCACACACTGTACCCCAGGTTCCTTGGTAGTAAACTTCTACTCGACCTGAACATTTTCCTGTCCCATTTACCAGTCGCACAAGAGGCCTGTCTTCTAAGGAAAGCAAAAAGGAGGGTCAGTAGATGAAGCATTTATGTTTGCTGTCTCCCAGTCTTTACCATTTTTCAAACTTTCAAGGTACCCTCCATTAATTTACCTTTTTAAGTAAAAAAAAATAGGCTGTATTTGTTACTTTATTAGGATAGAGACATCTCTCTGAGGAATTCCCTTTACTGATGCAGATCACCACCTCCTCTGCAATATGTGTCTTAAAGACTTTCTTGAGACATTGATAGATGAAGTGCCCACTACCTTATTTTATGATTGAGTTTAGCATGGTCTGCTGTCGTAGAAAGAACACTGAGCTGGACCTCAGGAGACTGGGATCGACTGTTAGTTCAGGACACTAATGAATCTGGTGACTATAGTCAAACAAGTTATCACCTAGGGATTACAACATGGCCCTTACCACCAGGTAAACTGAATACCAGCTCTGACCAAAAACCAGAAACTTGGTGATCCTCCACCATATCAGAGAGCAAATCAATATCCAAATTGGAGCCTGGACAGAGATGTTTTTGCTTATAAAAGAAGATAAATAAATTCATTGTGCTTCAACCCTCAAAAATCAGCAAGGACCAAGCCTTTCAACATGCTGGCCACCAGGCTACCTGATTACTATTCCTGGGGAGAAAAATCAAATAAAAATTCTAGCTGGGAGAGAGGGCCCGAGTCCTCTCATTCCTCTGATTAAAATGAATTTTAATGCTTTTTTTTGGTTTTTATATCACTTACGTTTCTCAATGCATTTCCCATGATATAGACCTATATTACCTTATCTAAATCCTAGAGTCAATTATCTACCAATCTCCAGGACACACTCCCTCCTTTCTCAAGGAGTTCAATATAGAACTCACAATCTTTCTCCCTTCCTTTGTCTTAGGGGGTTCTAATATATATGGTGTTGTCTCCCCAAAGACCTTGGATTCTTTAACACGGTCAAATCCCATACCTTACATGTTCACTCCACCTCCAGTATGAATAGCAATGGCTATAGCATTTATCTTGTCATCAACCACAATAATTCTAGTTCCATGATCCGGAATTCTGAAATTTCTCTCTTTAATATAACCTCCTCTCGTTCTATCTCTCTCTGTGCTTCAGGCTTCATGAAATGAAGTCATCCTTAGTGCAACTTCCCATAACTCTACTCATCTTTAGCTTTTCTACCTGGCACCACTATTTCGGCCACATTTCATCTCCCTTTGTGGTCCTGACACTGTAATGAAGCAGTTCAATATTATGCTTGAATCACTTTGCCTCTTGTCTCACTACTCATCCCTTTCCAAACTTCAACCCTACCACTACCTTCTGCCACCTGTGCTCCTAATTTACATGCTGAATGCTGCTAGGGAGAATCACAAGGCTATATTAACTGGTTCCACTATCCGTTTATGTTATTTCACCTCAAGTGGGCCCTAAAAATCAGCAAGGACCTTTCAACAGGCTGACTACCAGGCCAACTGATCTCCATCCCTGGGGAGAAAATCTAATCAAAACCCTAGCTAGGAGAGAGGACCCAATTCTAATACCCCTTTGTAAAAATAAATTTGAATGCTTTTATTCTTCCCTGATAGACTTGCTATCATCATATCCCTCATCACAAGGCTCTCCAAGGTTACCAATAATCACTTCTTTGCTAAATCTAAGAACCTTGTTACATTCCCCTTCCTTCTTCATCTCTCTGCAGTATTTAATCCTAGTTCAATCACTCTCCTTCTGGATTTCCCCTTCTTCCCAGGGTTTCAATGGCACTCTTCTCTCATAGTTCTTCCCCTACCTGTCTGATTTTTCCTTCTTATCCTTGTTAGTCTCCTTTGCACGATCCTCATCTATATCTCCCTTTATGCATTTGTATACTCTGGAGGTCCCAGGCCTGTTAATTTTCTCTTTCATAATTTTTATGGAAATGACTCACAGATTTACATAACCAGGCCATATCTTCTTTATGAACTCAGGTCTTATTTCACCAATTTCACCATTTCACATATTTCTACCTCAATGTCCCCATCTCAACATTTTAAAATAGAATTTTCTTCTTCCTAGAACCCACCTGTATTCCTAACTTCCCTTTGTCCATCAATCCTTCTAACCCCCTAGGTGCATAACTTCAGAGTCATCTTCAGTTCTTCATACTTTCTCATCGTCCTAACCCAATAATTTGCCAGAATATGCTAATTTGGTCTCCATGTATTTCTGGCATCTTTTCTTGTCTCTTTTACCACACAGCCACCACACTAATCATCCTGATGCTTGTTAGTATAATTTGAATATTTTAACTTTTTCATCTGAATACATGTAAAATCATAAGAATAATAACATTATTTTACTAAAATAGTAATGCATATTGACTAGGATTCATATACATGTTTGCACTTACCTGATGGATTAGGAATTTTTATAGGTGATAATGGTGGTATTGCTGTCATTGACATTGTTAATGATGCTGTTGACAGTGGTGGCACTGATGATGATGATGATGATGATGATGATGATGATGAGGATTCTGCTTTTATTTATTAGAGAAGAACAGACCATTACATCATTGTTTTTATGAAATGTGAAGCAAAAAAAAATGACTAAATACCTTAGCCTTCTCTCAAATATCTATGTTAATCTGATATTCTATCTGGGTGAGTTTTTTGAGTAATGACACTTTATTGCCTCTTGGTTATGAGATGGAGAATTAGTTTCTCAGCCTATAAATTCATCATCTGTTATCTAATTACTTTGGAAAGTAAGAGTGGGAAAGATAAACTAGATACTTTTCATTACATGAAATTTAAGAGCTTTTGCATGAAAAAAATTAGCACTGAGAAGAAAAGAAGTGGTCAAGTTGGAAAAAAACCTTTGCATCAAATGTCTTTTGTGTGTGTGTGTGTGTGTGTATGTATGTGTGTGTATGTATGTATGTATGCAGTATATTTGTATATATAGTTAACACAAATATAGAAGACCAAAAACCATTGCCTAAGAGAGAAATGGTTGAAAGATATTAGCAAGCAATTCTTAACAATTTTGCAAACTATTAACAAAGATGTAAAATAGTGCTTCAGATCACTAATGAGAAAAACACAAATCAAAATAATTTTGAGGTTTCACCTTACACTTAGCAACACTGGTAAAGATGACAAGAAATGGCAATAATTAGTATTGAAGCGGTTTTAGAAAAATACAATGATATTTCTCTGGTGGAGTTGTGAATTAGTCCAATTATTCTGCAAAGCAATCTGGAATTCTGTTTAGAAAATAATTAAAATATCCAAACACTTTGGTCCTGAGATTTTGCTGGCCTATCACAGAGTTAAATGATAACAAGAAAGGCTCCATACACCACAAAATATTTACAGCAACAATTTTTTTTTTTGCATTGGGAAAGAACTGGAAACAAAGTAAAAGTCTATGGATTAGGGCATGGTTAAGCAAGTTGTGGAATGTGCATATAGTGGCATATTACCGTGCAGAAAGAAAAGATGAATAGAATGAATTCATAGATAAACGGGAAGACAACCAGTGCAAAATGTTGTAAATGAAATAAGCAGAACAAGAAAAACAAAATACACAATGACTGAAGTAATATAAATAGAAATAACAAAATAACAAATGTAATATTGTATAATAATGCAGTCCCAAAGAAGAGAGATGAACATTTATCTCTTTCCCTTCTTTGTATAGGTAGAGGACTATGGATGGGGGATAATGAGCATTATGTCCAACTTGTTTTATTTCTTTTCACTTTTTAAGAAAAATGTAAATGCGGAAGTTCCTTCCACCGATACGATTTGGTAATTCGTTTGTCACTTACATTCTCAAAGAGTTGTCTGGGGGCCCTTGCCCGTATACATAAAACTAGAATGTGATAGAAAGAGGACTTTCTGTAGTTCTTCATGACTCCAATACTGCTCCTACATCCTTTGTCCCATACTGTTTCTTTTTTTTTTTCAGTACCACATAACTTTTTTATTTTTTTAAATGTTATTAATATATTTTGATTTATCAACAATCACTTCCATATGCTTTTGAGTTGAAAATTTTTCTCCCCCTTCCTCCCCCCCACCCTCCCCAAGACAGCGCACAATCTGATACAGGCTTTACATTTACATTCCTATTAAACATATTTTCACATTAGTGAAGTTGTAAGTAAAAATTAAAACCAATAGGAGGAACCCATCAGAAAGATGAAACAAAACTCAACAAAAGGTAAAAATAAGTGATAGCGATTCGACTTTCATAGTTCTTTCTTTGGATGCCCATATTGCTTCTCACCACAGACTACATTCATCCAAATGGCTCTCATTTGCAGCTATCCATCCTTTGGTATTTGTTGAGGGCCGGTATCTTTGCACGAAATAGTTTTGTGTGAAAAGGATATAGAGTTCTGAGATTTTTAATGGTATACCAGGAAAAGAAATCTCCAGTAGAATGTAATCATCTTGTGAGAAGGGGCTGTTTTCTCTCTTTGTATCCCAAAGTTTCTTATAGTACCCTTATTAAATCCTTCATATTACTCCAAAGTTGCTTTATTAATTACCTACATAGTAGGTGTTTAATAAATGCTTATTGAATTGTTAAATATGAAGTATGCTAAAATGTATAATTTTTAAATGATTTTTGGAATAGTAAATGCAAGCATCCACATCAATGCCTACCTATACTTTGTTTTAAAGTAATGATAACAGGTCATTTGGCTAAATAGAGTTTAAGGATTTTAGGATAGGAAAAAAATTGAAAATCAGTAAAGAACTGATTATCTTGACTACAATAGCATGAAAATATACAAAGCATAACTTTTCATGGAGGCATAGGGTCTAGTCTTTCAGAACATGTCATCATCAATTATCATTGGAATAGATCATTGTACTCTGCCCTAGTGGACTGTGAGTAGTCTCTCTCTGAAGCATGAGATTTGTGTTTTTAAGAGAAAGAACAAACATTCACCTGCACAGATGACACTGGCATCTTCTTTGTGACCACAGTTGTGGGTGAACCAGTCATCATGGGAGCACTGAGCCAGGTGACTTTCCCATCCATTGCACTGCACATTGTCCAGGAGAATTTTCCCTGAGCCTGGGCCAAAGTGGGCCCCATGAGGAGCAGAAAGAGCCTGTTCACAGCCGAGCTGCCTGCACACTACACCTGCTTCCTTCAGCTCCCAGTGGTCATCACATATCGTCCCCCACGTTCCTTCGTAGTAAACTTCCACCCTCCCCTGAACATCTTCCTGTCCCATTTATTAGTCGCACAGGAGGCCAGTCTTCTGTATACACAAAAATAATAAGGATTAATTCATGAAGCATAACACATTCATTTTCCACTGAACTAACCCTGCCCATTTGGCTCAGAAATTCAGGAGAATTCATTTATCTCAAGTTAATGGGAATATATCCAGAGGGAAAGTACCATAATTACAACTCAGTGTAACGATCTTCATTCAGGGAAGCACAAACAACAGATGAAAGAATAGGTTTTTTCTCATATGTTGATGTGTTAGAGATTAATATGACTATGTCAGCTTTTGGAGCAAAACAATAGCAACAAAATTGGTAATAAATAATTATGTTTTATAGCCATAAAGTATTTTCTCCCAATTCTGAAGTAGGTTATGCAAGTAGTATCATCACCATTTTACAGATAAGACAGCTGAGGCTAATAGGGTCATAGGCCTAGAGTCATAGGTTAGTAAACGGGAGAAGTCAGAATTGGTAACCAAGTTTTTTCATACTAAGTATAGGCCTCCCCCCTCCCCCAACACCATATCAGTATATTATTTCTGCTTGCCGTGAAAACTTTAAGGAAGGTGACATGAACAGATGCTACAAGCATCTAAAATTCTATCTCATGTACAACAAACAGTCTTGGAGAATGATGGCCCACCTTGTGACCATTAGGCTTTCCCCATTATAAACTACACACTGGTAATAGCCTAACTCTTCAACTTATTAGCTATATAACCTTAAGCAAATAATTAATTTCCCAGAGCCTCACTTTTCTTGTACATAAAGTGAACAGGTTAGACTAGATGATGTTCTATTGTCCCATCTAGCTCTTCAATTCAATGAGAATTGTCATTAACTTAATTTTATTTCATTGTTATTGTTCAGTCATTTCAGTCATGTCCAACTGTTATAACCCCATTTGGGGTTTTCTTGACAGAGATACTGGAGTGGTTTTCCATTTCCTCCTCTAGCTCATGTTACGGATGAGGTAACTGAGGCAAACAGGGTTAAGTGACTTGGGTCACACAGCTAATAAGTATCTGAGGCCAGATTTGAACTGACAAAGATAAGTCTTCTTGACTCCAGGTTTGGTACTCTATCCACTGTGCCACCTACCTGCTCCCTTTATTCCATAGAACAACAAAATATTAGAGTGGAAGGGACTTCAGAGGCTATCTAATACAACCTATGCCTTAACAAGAATGCCTTCTAAAAATCTCCTAGCTGGTCATACAGTTTCCATTAAAAGAATGCTAGTGAACTTATTACCTCCCAAACTTTAGATAGTTGTAATCTTAAGAGAAGTTTCTTGGAATCACCCTACATTGATTCTGAACTTTCTCCATTTTGCTCTTAGTTCTGTTTAGTTCTGGGGTCAATAAGGATGAGTTAATTCCACCAACCTTTATAAATCCTCTTTTCCATTTCTTTCAATCCATTCTGTTATGGAACATTTGTAGTTCCTTTACCATCTTGGATTCCCTCTTCTTAATACTCTCTAGTTTATGAATGCCCTTTCTAAAATTTAGCAACAGAACTGTGTACAATGCTGTAGGCCAATGGTGTCAAAATCAGATAGAAATAAAGGTCACTGAAACATGCATAGGATCCCTGTAGGCCACATATTGAATTCGTTTTAAAAATGTAACATTATCTACTTTTTATTGTATTTTTTACTTATTTGGTAAAGTGTTGAGGGCTTGCACTGATGGGTTTGAGGATTGGGTCATGTCGGGATGTTCCTGTTCCTGTCCATTATCTAAGAGCTGTCATGGACAGAACGTAGGCTCTCCAACCTCTTCCAGGTGCTGTCTGTCCCTTGAGAGGATGAAGGATTTTCAGTAAACCTTGAAAGATAACCGGGAAGCGAGGAGACGACTCTGGGGGGAAAACCCCCACCCGGTTACTGTTACCATGAGAAAAATTAATTGTTGATACTTGGTTTTTTCCACTCTTGATTCTGTTCCCATGAATGGGGTATAAAAATCCTAACTCTTAGATCAATAAATGGAGCTTGTTTATAACTTGCTACCCCCTGGTCCACATTATTCTCTCTTTCTCTTTCTCTTTCTTTCTTTCCTTCTTTCTCTTTTTCACTCTTTTCAGCCTCACCAAAGATAAAACTTCATAGTGGACGCAGGAGTCTGCTACAGTAAAGGATTTCCCAATTACATTTTAATCTGGTTCTGGCTGCACTTAGAAGTGTTGTGGTTCCATGGGCTACATGTTTGAGACCTTTACCCTACACATGATCTGAAATATGCAAAGGGCAATAGGACAATTACTTTTCTCTCTTAATGCCAGGTATGAATTGTATTAACTTTTTAGGGCTGCAATGTCACAACCCAAAATTGGGCTTGTATTACAATAAAGTCCTCAGATCTTTTTTGGACAAACTGTTATCTAATCGTGTCTCTCTCATTCTATAGTTTCCACATTGATTTTAGGTACCCAAGTGTAGGACTCATTTATCTTTAAATTTAATCTTTGATCTATCCAACTGAGAGATTTGGGATTCTTATGCTGTAATCTAATATATTGACTATCCCTGTTGGCATATAAACATTGGATAAGCATTCCATTTATGCCTTTATCTAGCTCATTGATCAAAATTAAACAGAACAGGGCCAAAGACAGATTCTTGGGTACTCCATTAGAGTCCCTAATTCACATTTGACATGGAAAATGACTGTTCTTTGGGTCAACCAATTCCAAATCTACCTAACTGTACTACTATCAAGCTCTCAATTATTGACACTATTCACGAGGATATTTTGAGGGATTACACTGTGGTAAAACTGCACCAACAATAACAGAACAACAATAGTATCAGGTACATGCTAAGGACCTATTTGCCAGCTTATGAGGGACGTATAAAGTTTTTAATAGTCATGGTCCTTGCCCTCAATATCTTATGGCATAGGAGGGGAGGTTGACACCAATACAAAAGTGTAATAGCATGTATTATATAGCTAAGTATATAAGAAAGTTGCAAAATAAAGCAACATGTGAAGTCTAAGAAGGAAGAACCTTAGCAATCAGGAGGTGCCAAGTCAGGCTTTCTGGAAGAGATGGCATTTGAGATTGGCATTAAGAGATTGACAGGGTATCCAACAGGTGAAGAAAGGGAGGGAGGGCATTCAGACACAGGGAATAACTTGGGCAAAGGCAAAAAAAGTGTGGGCTCTGCTGACAGAGATTAAGCCAGCTTGGTTGGAGTGTAGAAGGAAGAAAATAAGGATTTATTAAGTACTTATTGTTTGCCTGGCATTGCTCCACACTTTACAAATATCATCTCATTTGATCCTCACAAGAACCCTCGGAAGTAGGTAATATTATCATCCCTAATTAACAACTGAGGTATCTGAAACGAGCAGAGGTTAAATGACTTGGCCAGGGTCACATAGCTAATAAGTGTCTGAGGCTGGATTTGAACTTAGGTCTTCCTGGGTTCAAACTGGATTTGACTCAGTTCCTGGGCCTCCTGGCCCAGGGCTCTATCCAATGTGCCACCTAGCTGCCACAAGTAGTATAGAATACAAGAAGGGTTGGAAAGATAGTTTGGTGCTTTGTTGTGGAGGCAATGAGAGATGTTTGAATGCGGCAGACAATAAAGTGTCACTGAAGACTTCTAAACAGAGGAGAGACATCACCAGAGCTAAGCAGAAAGAATCATATTCAGCTACCATATGATGGATTAGAGGAGGAGGAACAGAGAGATTGGTCATTAGAAGAACTGGGAAAAGACAAGGGCAATAATCTAGGTGGGTGGAAATGAGATCATGGAATAATAATGCTTTTCTGGTGGACTTGTGATTTCATGAATATGGAGAAATTTTGGTGCAGAAACTCCTTCCACTGATACAAATGGACTATTCAGATATAACCTAGCATCCTAGAGAAATGCTTGAGGCTCTGAGAAATTAGGGGATTTGCCAGGCATCACATAACTAGTATACATCAGAGGCACTACTTGAACTCAGGTTATCCTGACTAGACTATTGGCAGTGGTCATAGAGAGGAAGGTCATAGAGATATTGTGGAGAATAAATCTAACAGGATCTGATAAATGCTTGACTATTAGAGATGAGTGAGAGGATCCCTCTCTTAGGGATCCCCTTCAGCAGAAGATTATTTTGATTCTCTTAGTTAATAGTATTATTTTCCTTGTAAAATTATCTTCTATTGATTTATCTGTTTACTGTCATACTCCCCAGGCTCATGTAAACTCCCTGAGGGCAAGAATTTTTTTTTTAATTTGTACCACCAAGTATAAGCATGGTGCCTTGTAGGTGCTTAATAGATCTTTGTCAAATTCAGTTGATGTGATCGAAGCTGAACTGGGAGAGTATGCAGAGATCAGGAACTGAAAATCATTAGAAGGGAGAAATGGTACAGTTAATAAAGTTCACCTACCTAGTTGGGCAATGGAGTGGTCACTGGAAACAAGTGATTGAGGTGTTGAGACGGCAGCAGGTAATGCTATATTTAAATAAAAAGACTGCTTAGTAAAGGTTTAATTAGCTTAGGATAGATGTAAGAAAACTTGGAAACACATATTTAAATAAAAGAAAGTGATGGACTGTCTTTTCAGTATTACCTAACAATCATAAGTTTGTTTTACTACATAAATCCACATTTAAAGTAAGCTATCCAGTACCTAATGGATTAGTGGGAAATGTTTCTGAACCATATTTTTTTTCTAGAGTCTCAAAATCAGAATCTTTTCAGATCTACATAACTTGACCCTGAATTTAAGGCCATATTTCTCAGCTGGAAAAAAACACTCAGTTGCAGAAGCTTATAGTATTTTGTATGTGTGTTTGATTTAGTTTTGTTTTTTGTTTTTTAGTCTCAACTTATTTTGCTTTTCTTCAGAGTAACTACCCTGGAATTTTGAGTTCCATTTAAAATTATCATTTATCCCAAGTTCTGAGCCACTTTCTGGACTTTATTGTGGCAGAGTCTTAGATATCCATAGGAAATCTTTGAAACACAATATTAGACTTGTATTGAACAATACAGTTCCTAAAGCCTTGATAGAAAGTTGACCAAAGTAAAAATTGAGTACCACTTGTTGCTTAACCTTCCTCATGCTCATTCCTTTCTTCTGTTTTTCATTCTTATTTGCTTCTGCAGTTTTGATTTCTCCATCCCTATTCCAATATTCTATGTCTAAAGTGTGAAGTGGAGAAATGGTGATTGAAGGAAATGAGGAAGGAATTTAATATAATGGAGAGAATAGCAAATTTGGAGCTAAATGAGTTTGGTTGGAATCCTGGACTTGCTACTTATTCCTTGTATAACTTTGGATTTACCCTCTCTGTAAAAGTGGAGAGTTAGCCTAGATGATCTTTGAAGTCCCTTCCAACTCTACATCCTAGGACTTACAGGAAATTCTACAAACAAATACATATAACGTACAGGTATATCAGCAATGGCCAGTCAGTATTGAGAATGGACTCCAACAAGCCCCATGATACCATGGATACAGAGCTGCCTCAGGTTATCGTACATATTGGACAATGCAGGTACTATTGAACCAATGCCTATGTTAATAAAAGATGCTTAAGGTGCAACTGACATCACCATTGGATGGGCCAACTGAATAAAATTTTTATTCTGTATATAGTCAGAAATCAAAGATAATTTGGTAGAACCACAAAAAGTAGTCGATTCAACTATTTTCAAGTGTATTATCCATTTTATGAATTATTTAGGGCTAAATTTAACCCCACAGACTTTCTAGGAATAAATACCTTAAGTTTCAGATACTTCCAACTCTGCAAATTAATGTTTCAATATTAACTTGATCAAAATATAGCTTAGAACTCAAATCTGATGGAAAATTTAAAAAATAAGCTCTCCATAGATAAATACTAGAGATTATTTGGATTAGTTCTGTTTTGGATTGTTTATCCTAGCACTCCATTAACAAAACCATTGAAAGTTGACTATGAATCCAAATGCCTAATATGATCCATATGTTTTTTTTTTTTAAAGATTTTACCCTTTTCTTTAGAGCATTATTAGGTGATCTCCTTTATGTGGATTTATGCTTTTTGCATTAGCTGTAGAAAAATCTATTCACTTTAAAACCATATTGTAGTTGTATGAATCCTGATTATTATGGGTTTTTTTCCAGTTCTTTCTTTTTATCTCCTATGTCTGGCTGGTTAGGCACAAAACTTACCAAGAAAAGTTATAAGCTCATTTGCTTACCTGATAAAATAGTTGCTGGATTCTTATCACCTGTTGGCAGAGAAATTAAAATATCTATAATCATCATGGTTTTTCATTGGCCATTTTGTTTTTAAGGATATCATTGAGGCTATGAGTGTGATCCATACCAACGAGGAGCTTTAAAGAGAGGAAAAGAAACGCTCATCCGCACAGATGACACTGGCATCTTCTTTGTGACCACAGTTGTGGGTAAACCAGCCATAATGGGAGCACTGAGCCAGGTGGCTTTCCTGCCCACTGCACTGCACATTGTTCAAAAGAACTTTCCCTGAGCCTGGGACAAAGTGGGCTCCATGCCCACAGCCGAGCTGCCTGCACACCACACCTGCTTCTTTCAGCTCCCAGTGGTCATCACATATCGTCCCCCAGGTTCGTTGGTAGTAAACTTCCACCCTCCCTGAACATCTTCCTGTCCCATTTACTAGTCTTCCTAGAGGCTTGCCTTTTAAAGACACGAAAATGTTGAAGGTTAGCATGTGAAAGGCATCATGTTCATTTATCATTGCACTAACTGGTATATAGTAGCTCACCTGAACCTGAAACTGACTTATCAAGAATTCCTGGTGGTGGAGGATTTGAATCTGCAACAGGAAGCACTGTAATAAAATTCAAATAGTTATTACCAGTGAATACTGCTCACCTTGAAAGGGAGGAACTTTACTATATTTATCTGACCCAGCAACAAAGGTGAGGAACACAATTATCCCCATCTACGTATATTCAGAAGGAGATAGTTCCATCAAGTAAGCAGCATATTCTAGTTTGGTTTAAGACCAATGGGTAGAAGTTTAGAGACAGATTTTGGCTTAATGTGAAAAAGAGCTTTTTAAAAATTAGAGCTGTTTAAAAAATGAACAATGGTGAAAAAGCTAGGAATATTCAGACATTTACAGAAGTGATGCAGGTAGGGCATTATAACTGTTTTCAAATATTGGAAGGGCCTTTACATAGAAAGAATATTAGACTTATTTTATATACTCATAAGGAAAAAAATAGAACAAAAATGGAATTTACATACAAGCAGATTTTTACTAAATATAAAGAACGTCCTAAGCATTAGACCTGTCCCAAAAATAGAAGACTGACTTCTTAGTTATCCAGCTCCCCATCAATAAAAGTGTTCAAGTAGAGACTGTATGACCATTAGAGATGTCACGTATTGATTTCTTCATGGAGTGGGGAATTAGGTTAACTGATTTCTAAGGTCCCTCCCCACTCTAAGATTCTATGACTCAGTCATTAAATAGGCATAAAATGAAAATTGCTTTCTTTTTGTATATAGACATGAATAGGTGAGGTTTGGAAGCTATAGAGTACCACAATGTATGATAATAAAACTTAGGGTAACCCCAGACAGAGGTTCTTAACCTGCGGTGTCTATAAACTTGTTTTAAGAAGATTTTTGTAACTATTTCAATATAACTTGTTTGCTTTGTAATTCTATATATTTTATTTTGTGCATTTAAAAAGATTATTCTGGGGAGGGGTCAATAGGCTTCACTGGGCAGCCAATGGGATCCATGACACACAAAAAGTTAAGAATCCCTGAATTGTAGGTGGATCATAGATAAAGAAATTTAAGGCATTTAGAGAGCACACTGAAACCAGAATTGTTTCAAGGATCTTAAAGTGCCTTTTACTCTCAGCCTTTTATCTCTACTACACCAGTGGTATTTAAATAGTCTGCATTTTTAATCAATTTCTTCAACCATTACTATGATTCAAGTGTAATTTTGTGTTCTTACTACTTAAGGTTACCTATTTAGTGTCCTACCTGAAGGAATATTTGTATTAATGGCTACTGGTGATGGATCAGCTGAATCTTCAGTAGATGGGGCTATAACAATATCAGAACAGATATTTAAAAATTGATACTACTCACTTTCAATAGATGAACAAGGTTACTTAATATATTTGAGGCAATGTGATATAGTCAAAAGATCACTGGGTTTAGAATCAGAAGACCTGGGTTTGTGTTCTAGCTCTGCTACTTATAAACTATATGATCTTGGTGAAATCACTTAGCTTTTCTGAATTTCAATTTCCACATCAGCAAATAGGGGATGTAATACTGGTAATCCTATACCACAAGGTAGTCAGAAAGGGAATACTTTGTAAACTGTATCTCTATGGAAATGTGAGTTGTTATCTGATCCATCAATCCAGAAAGTTAATTCAATTATCCATAAATGTGTTTATTCAAAGTAGAACATTTCCAGAATCTATGGAAGTCATGGAGGAGAGTTGTACAGAATGGGTAGGCATGGATGGGATTTAATCTCCACCACTGGAGAAAGCCCTCATTTGAATGGAGTATTAGAGAGTTAGATTTCCATAGAACAAACAGAATGCTCAAGGTGGCATAAAATGTCTTTATTCTTTGACTAGATTAGAGGTGAGAATGTCACTGATTTTACAGTTTCATTTTTCAGTGACTTAAATCCATAAATAAATGAGATTGGGAAGCATATAGTTTAATGATATATGGCAGTAAAATTCTAGCAACCTAGAATTTTAGCTAAGTTTTATAGACAGATTATGGATAAACAAAGGCAACTAAGGAAAACACTGAATGCAGAGTAGTTTAGAGAACAATACATATCATTTTTCTTCTCTTCAGCTTTCTCATTTTTGGTGAGCCTCAAGAATATCTAAGTAGTCAAAATACTACACTCTGCTGTCTTATTAATCTTTCTAAAGCACAGTTCTGATTATTTGATCATTATACCATTCTTTTAAAAATCTGTAATGATTCTCCTTCACCTGGTGAATAAGATCTTAATCCTCTAGCCTCATGTTGAAGGCAGGCCCACCATGATATGCCCCATCCATCTTTCCACACCAATGTCCCATTACCTTGTTTCATATTCTTTATGTTACAGTCACACTGGAGTTTTCACCTTTCCCTGAATAAATCTTCATGCTTTTGTTCAAGCTGATCCCTCTTTGTGGAGTGCCCCTTCCCCACGTACCCATGCTTATCAAATACTTTCCAGTTTTTAAAGGTACAGCTCCAATATCACACCTCCTTCATCAAGTCTTCCTTTTCCCTCCTAGCTAGAAGCCATCTCTCCTTCCTCTAACCAGGAGTGGGGGACCTGTGGCCTCCAGGCCATATGTGGCCTTCTAGGTCCTTGGGTATGGCCTCAAAAGGCAGCACCTGAGGACCTAGGAAGCCACATATGGCCTTGAGGCTGCAAGTTCCCCACCCCTGCAACTCTTCCATAGCACCTTGTATCTCAATGCATTTGTCCAATTTTCTTTTTATTACAGTTAATGATGTTTGTTTTATCTCTCCTACTAGATTATAATCTCCATGAGGGCAGTGGCTCTGTACTATTTAGCTTTTATTTCCAACACTGCATATAGCTACTTAGTAAATATAGTAGGCATGATAAATAAAAATGAACTACGACTTTCATTCTATTCCCTAATGGTTTACATGGTTCTAGTATTGCTTAAGGATAAGAAAGGCACCTGTTAATGATTTTTCAATTACCAGCTCCTACCTGATAGTTTCCCTGAATGGTCGACACCTGCAGGTGATGCAGGAGTTGGGATGGCAGCAGGTAGAACTATAATAAAGAAAATTCCTATGAATAGTGAATAACTGATCATCTTGATGAAGAAAAATGTAATGTCTTCAATTTTATTAATAGGAGTCATTTTCCCACATAATTTTTTTTTTTTGGTGAGGCACTTGGGGTTAAGGGACTTGTCTAGAGTCACACAGCTAGCGTTATGTGTCTGAGGCCAGATTTGAATTCAGCTTCTCCTGACTTCAAGGCCAATGCTCTATCCACTATGGCACCTAGCTTCCCCCACAACATACTTTTAAGAGCACCTAAAGTTTGAGCAATATTCGAGTTTAACTCCATGAATAAGGACACAACAGAAAATATCATGATTTAAAGTGATAAATTGCCTATCACACCCTAGGTAAGTAGTAATAGATGCTAGATCGCTCCTGGCCTGATGAGCCTTAAGATCTGGTCAAACTCCCGCATTCTGACCCACCTTTGAAATACTGCTTCATGACCTTACCCAAGACCTTATACATTTCTCTTAGAGTCAGTGTCTAGTTATGACTAAGGATTTGTGTATGCAACATAGTATGTCTACTTTGCCACAGTTAACACTTAGAAATCTCTCACAATGGGTCAGTGACTCCTTTCAAGCAGGGTGTCTATTGGTTCTGACCACTAGGATTTTCCGGGGCCTTTTTCCATCTGTCTTATTAAGGTCATTTGTGAGCTCATTTCATGAATGATTCTTACCCTGTCTCTAGCAAGAATAAGTCTTAATAGATGGAAGCAGTTATGGAATGTGGATAGGGTAATAATTTCACTTTTTTCTATCAATTCAAAATTTTTTTAAAGTATCAAAATATAAAAACATCAAAGGATACTTTAGAGATAATTTTGTTAAACTCCGTTTTACAAATGAGAAAAATGAAGCTCAGAGGGGAATTTTCATAAGGTCATACAATGAGTTAGTATGACAGGCTCCAATAATTCTATTATAGATATACCCTGACCATAAAAGCACACCCTTGGTTGCTTTAACTGGGGTAGGGGGACTGAGAAGAGAGAAGAGAGAAGAGGTGTTTCAGTAGAGCTCATATGCACACGTACATATGCATATGTAGTTACATACATGGGAAGGCTTCTGCAAAGTGAGGCTGCTATATACATGTTGCCTTGCTAAACTGATGGTCCTGCCTTATTCCTATTCTCTCCTTTCTTGTACTGGCTTACTGCCTGATGGTAGGCTTATAATGTCGAGTTTAAGGGTCATTATCAATAAAATATTTATTTGTTGCTGTTCAGTTGTATCCAGCTCTATGTGACCCCATGGACTTTGTTCATAAGGTTTTCTTGGTAAACACAAGGGAATGGTTTGCCATTTCCTTTTCCAATGAATCCTAATTTAACAGATGAAGAACTGGGGCAAATAGGGATTAAGTGACTTGCCTAGGGTCACTCAGCTAGCAAGTATCTGAGGCTGAATTTGAACTCAGATCTTCTTGACTCCAGGTCCGGTGCTCTGTGCACTGCACCCACCTAGCTACCACAAGTATTTTTTTTTAGTGCTTACTATATGTCAGCCACTATGGAATACAACTGCAAAGAGTGAAACAAGCTCTACCTGTAAAGAGCTTACATTTCAGTAGGGGAAGCAACAAGTACATATATAAACATAAACTGCATAAATAGAATGTGAATAAATACAAACATATGCAAAATAGTGAAATGCAAGATTTTTTGAGAGGGAGGGCATTAGCAGTTGGGGGGATCAGGAAAGGCTTAATGCATAAGATAGTACTAGCACTAGAAGACAGTACTACATAGTACTTAGAGGAAGAAGAAGACCCTATGAAGTAGAACTTAAAGAAAGAGGGAGCATCCCAGGGATGTGGGCTAGCCAGTACTCAGCTTGGAGATGGAAGATGGAAATGTCATTTGTGAGAATGACAAGTTGAGTGGATGGTAGAGTGACATAATGTGTGAGATTTCAAAACATTTCTATTTTATCCCAAAGGCAGAAGATGTTGATTAAGCGGGAGAATCACACAGTCAGATTTATGTTTAAGGAAAAATATGTTGGCAGGAGTGTTTAGGATGGATTGTAGTGGGAAGAGACAAGGCAGGGAGGTGAATTAGGAGGCTGCTGCAGTAATCTTGGCCAGGTGTTGAGGGACTGAATTAAGGTAGTAGCTGTGTGAGTGGGAAGCTGTCATATGTGAGATGTTCCAAAGGTGGAAATAACAAGATATGGCAACTGATTGGAAATGTGTGGAGAGAGTGAAGAGTTGAGAATTATGCCAAGCATATAAATCCAGGAGTTAGGAAGAATAGTAGTGCCTTTGATGGAACAGAGAAGTCTGGAAGAGGGTTTAGAAGGAAAGGCAAGGAATTCAATTTTTTGATATATTGAGTTTAAGATAATTCTGGAACATCCAGTCTGAAAGGTCATCAGAGATTTAATGATTACTTGTCCCTGATTTTTCTTGGAGGGGCAGCTAAGTGGCTCATTGGATGGAGTGCCAGGCCTGGAGTCAGAAAGACTAATCTTCCTGAGTTCATATCCGGCTGCAGATGCTGGCTAGCTGCGTGATGCTGGGCAAGCCACTTAATCCTGTTTGCTTCAATTTCCTCATCTGTAAAATGAGCTGGAGAAGGAAATGGTGAATCACTCCAGTGTCCCTGCCAAGAAAATCCCAAATAGGGTCACGAAGAGTTGGCCACCACTGAAATGACTGAACAAGAAATGCCTGATTTTACGTGCTGGCTTCAGGTTGCCACAGGGCTGGTGCACCCACCAGTGAGCTCTTACCCACAGTTACTACTTTCTTGCCCCATATAGCTTTGCTATACTTCTTTGGCCCTTTATACCAACATACGGCAGGTCTGGGATTAGAACTTGGACTTTCTGCTCCCCCAGCCACTGCCTTTTTTATTCTTTACTACCTGTGCTCTATGTATCACTCACCTGTCCCTGTCTTTATGATCTTTCTTATTTTCCTCTCTCCTTGAGTCACTATTTTTGTTGTATCTTTTAATGTTCCATTTTTCCAGATGTCATGCACTGTTCTGTAGACACATCCAGTACCTTCTAATTAACAGGAAGAAGGAAACTTCTGAACTGAGAGGACAACCAAATGGTGTTTTCTCTTCCTGCAAAATTAGGTGTGTTGCACTGAAGAATAGAGTCTATGAGACCCCGGGTTGGCCACCAAAGTAAGTAGCCTAAGTTGAAGGCTTGAAGATGTAAGGGGCTCCATGGTGTAGTAAAAATAGTGCTGAATTTAGTCATGGAAGACTTGGCTTTTAATCTTTACTGCTATTTCCTACCTGTAGAACATAGGAAAATTATTTAAAATTCTCTGGGACTTGATTTTCTCATCTGTAAAGTGAGAACTGTGAATTAGATGATCTACCACTTTCCTTCTACTTTCATATCCTAGGAGAATTAGAAGATATTGCCCTCATTTTTCACAACAATAGCAACTTTTCCCTGAGTGTATGCATCTAAGGGTTGAAAAATCACTTTTGATTTTTGAAAATCAATTTGAATTTGAAATTTGAAAAAAAAAGAAAAACCGTTTTTCAAAAACCATTGAAAAATCGATTTTACTTAAATTCACATTTCATTTGTGACACGTGGGCTGTATAACCAAGGAAGCTAGTTTTAATGGCATAATCCTTTTAATATACTCAGCAGGTCTTCCTTTTATTTCTCTCATACATTTTGATGGTTAGAAAAATGTTCTCTTACCTGATATCATAGTTGACAAATTTTCATCACCTATTGATAAAGATAAATTTTAAAAATCTCATCACTACATTGCTTTATTAACTAGCCTGTTTTCAATATATTAGTCTACTAGAATGCATAAAATGTAAAATAAGGTCTCTTATCTGTGAAATACAGCATCTTGTGGTTTTCAATAGGTATCTTTGATTTGATTAGATAAAAGGAGAGAAATGTTAACCAGAAAAGGTAACAAATACTTTCATTCTGACTGCTGAAACTGTGTAAAACCTGATCCAGGTGGTTTTCATTCTATATACTATCGTGGAGAATTTATATTATATTATTATATAATATAATATATAATAACAATACTATAATATAATAATACTATAATATAATAACACTATTTAATAAGATATTATTAATATAACATATTATATTATATTATATTATATTATATATATTTATATATTATACATTATACATTGTGCTAGAGAATTTTTCCCAAGTCTGGACCAAAGGTGGGCCCTAGTCGGCCAAATAATTTATCCAAACTTCTACTGTGAGTTCACCACACCTGCTTCATCCAGAAGCCCAGAGGTTGATAAACACTGTCTTCCAGATCCCTTGGCTAGTACATTTTAATCCATTTTCAATATCATCCCATTGCTAGCTGGAAGTGATGTCAATTTTCTAAGTATACCAAAGGGATGAGAGTCTATACATCAATCATTATCAGCTTTATTTCCTTAAGGTCCTAGCCAGAAATCATATGGTTCAACATTTCAAGTAAAAAATTTGATTGTTTTATATCAGAAGGAAGTCCTTAAGAGGAAAGGATAGATGACACAAAAAATGTCTCTTACTTATTTCCCCAGAAGATGACTCAACAACGTCTACTGTTGGTGGAGGAGTTATGAATTTAATATCTGTTATAATGGAAAAAAATCCATAGACAAAGCTATTAATAGCCAAGTAACTCCAGATAGAAAAATATTTCTCCTCATCACGATGAATGAATGCTAAACAAGTAATACTGTAGAAATAGTTTATAATGATTTTGCCCAACATTTTATAGAAATTGAGCTTTTAGTATTTAATTTTGAAAAAATAACTATTTCCAGACAATATCCTCAAAATTTAATGATTGAAATATAAAATAAGAAGAACTTGAAGAAAAAAATGACCTAATAATATTTTCTATTGACTGGTAGAATTTATAGAGAGTGACTTCCTGCTGGAGTTCCCATGAAAGAATGATCTCTTTCCTTGTCCATTGAGAAGGATGGGCTAAGTGGTAGCGTTCCTATGGAGGGATACATTGTAGGGGAAGTGGGTCTATTTTGGTCAACATGTGTTGCTTTTTATCATATTTTCCTGTTATATGTATAGGCCTTTCTCTTGCACTGTTAGAAAGGATGGACTGACAGTTGGAAGATGTGGTGCACCCACCATTCTCAGAACCAGAAGGTTTCTGGAGAACGCGACTCAGACTCTTACTACAGATATGACTATATTTACTGGAAAAAAGGGAGACTATTTAACTTAGTTCAACATTTTAAAAGTGTGAGACACATTAACTATTATAACAAAAGAATAAGATACTTGATGTTTTAAAAAGAAATAAATTAATGAAGTTGTGCAGGATTGCAGAAAAATCTCTGTCAAAATACCTAAGCTTTGTCAAACCTATTACTTTCAAGAAATGTGACAATGCCATTTAAAATTAGAATCATTTGTATTATGTTCACCATCTCATACTTTTCTGCATTCCCTTCCTGAAAACACCTTGTAAGTATGTTGAAAGAATATCAGGTTAAGAAAACTGAAGGCTGAATTTACCTGTTATAGGCATCAGATACTCAGCCTCTGTCAACATAGGAAAAGAAAACATGTATTGTTAGAGAAAGATAGGGTTTTTTAAAGAAATGCTTCAATTAAAAGTGATTCTTAATTATGAAATCAAGGAAATAGAATGTGTAACACCGCTTTCTTGGTCCATGTCACTATAAGCAAAACACAATAGACAATTAAGCTCTTTATTCCCTACCTTAGAACATCATGGAAGGTTCTCTATAATCATCCAATTAATCAGAAAGCATTTATTAAACACCTACTATATGCCAGGCACTAGGGATACAAAGACAAAGATGAAAGAAGTCCTGCTCACAAGGAGTTTGCGTTCTACTGGGAGGATACTTATAGCTGATTGTTTTTGTTGCATAAAACCTACTTCATCAATTACTGTGCAGGGAAGATATAACTTCCCACAAATGAAACATTCTGGTTTTAACTAGCAAGGACACTTAATTGACTGTTTCTATGGAGATATAAATTCAATAAAAATGGTTGGATAAGCTGTTGGATTGTTTGAATTTACTGAACCAATTGGTTATTTTGCAATCAGGTAGACATGGTTTAATAGACCCCATACAAATGGACCCTTACCTGATGCCTCCAGTTAGCTGGTAACGATATCCCCCCTCAAACCTCATGTGTACTTTGCTTGGGGCACATCTTTCACCTCTCCCTGTATATGTGTATATACATATATACACATATATACATATATGTATATATGTATGTATGCATGTGTGTGTATATATATGTATATGTGTGTGTGTGTGTGTGTGTATATATATATATATATATATATATATAGTATTTACTTATTTATGTCCATGCTGTGGCTCCCTATCTCCTGGGTTACTCACAATAAAATGTAAGCTCCTTGTGGATAAGGACTGTTTCATTTTTTACTTTGTATCCCTAGCACAATGCCTGGCATATGACAGGTGCTTTTTGAATTGAATTCTTTTACACTATAGCCATCTGTACATGCATCATTTCATCCTAACAGATTGGTAGCTCCATCATCATCATCATCATCATCACTATCATCATCATCACCATCATCACAATCATTTTACTGATCGTTACCATTATCATCATCATCGTTATAATAATAATAATAAAACAGCTAGAATGTACATAGCGCCTTAAGGTTTACAAAGTTTCTCTATATATGTTATCTCATTTGAGCCTCACAACAACCCTGAGAGGTAGGTATTATTATTCATCCGACTTTACAGATGAAGAAGGCTCAGAGAGGTTCAGTGATTTTTCCCAGGGCCACACAACTAATAAACGTCCGAGGCAGGAATTGAACTTAACTCTTCTCTACTCCAAGTCCAGTGCTTTATCCACTGTGTTACCTAGTAGCCAAATGGGCAAGGATGCACCTAATCTAAACTTTATATTGCCCCCAGTGTGTGAGTTGAAGACTAGGATTTGGTATTCTAAACTCCCTGAGGAGTTGTCATCTTGTTTCTTTCAGTGGTACAAATCTATGTCTTAGCATTTGTAATCTTTATGGAAGTACCGTAGAATGCTAACATTGGTAGTGATACTTCTTGGTCAAAGAATACTGAATACAGAAGGAAGACACACTAGAGATAGTGGAGCTCGGGTAGCTGGCATAAGAATTCCCTGTTATTTTTCATCTTCATCCAATTATGAGCTTTTCCAGGTGAGGGGCTATATCCACCATTATGTTTATATCTCCCCATGTTCCAATGTAGTGCGGTACACTCTGCATGCTGTTGATCACCTTCATCCTTGCTTTCCAGGAGTAGCTTGAGAATACACTGAGAATGCATTCCTTGAAATCTAGCCACCCTGGAATTCATGTAACTTTTTCCTGTATGACTGTTTCAGTTCTCTTTTAATCTCTCTTTTTTGGCTCATTCTTTTATGAGCTCAGAAGTTTCCGATGGCTCCTCATTTTTGCCTTATAAAAAACAAGCAGGAATTTTCCATAATGGAGCCTTTATGTATTACTCATGAGAACGGTGGAAATGAATTTAGACAGTGATACATATACTCGGGAGAAGAGGGAGACATTACCTGAACAGATAACACTGGCATCTTCTCCATGACCACAGTTATGTAGAAGCCAGTCTGCATGAGGACATTGCCCCAGAGAACTTTCTCTTCCCGTACACTCCACATCATCCAAAAGAATTTCTCCCGAGCCTTCACCAAACCAGGACTCAGTGGGGGCAGCAATGGCTCACCCACATCCTAGCTGCCTGCAAACCACATCCTCTTCATTCATGTCCCAGTGATCATCGCACACCCTGCCCCACTGGCCATGGTAGTAAACTTCGATACGTCCACAACATCTGTCTGACCTGTTCACTAACTGCAACTGGGGCCAATCTTTCAAAGATACAAACACGGTAAATATTAAGAGAAGAAATACACTATATTTATTCATAAGACTTTCCCCACTGTTGCTCTCCACACCAACATACATTCTGGGGAAGAAAAAAAAGAAAATTATTTCCCCGAACCCTACCCTGCCCATCCCCTCTCTTTTTTCCCCTTGTTTTAAAAAGCAGTCCTTACTGTCACTTGAGGTTACCCTAAATCTAGGGTCCCTGCATCCATGTCTATGTATAGATGTCAGAAGATTTGTGAACTTAAATGTGAAAAAATTACATATTTATTTCAATATAATTGATTTCCTTTATAACCTTATATATTCTATTTTATGCATTTAAAAACATTATTTTGAGGAGTCATATGCTTCATCAAACATCTAAGGGAGTCCCTCACACAATAAAAGGTTAAGACCCCTGATTTAAGTAGACCTTGTATAGCCTGGTTAAACAAAGAATTAAATTAAAGAAGCAAATTCTTCTATTGCCTTAGAGTACGGTGAGGAATCACTCAACAACTCTGGCACCTTCAGTTCCTTGGGGAAAACCAAACTGTGAACAGCTGTTTGGTCCTTATTTCCTTAGACCAAAGAAATTTAAATATACAAAAACATTTCTTGAATTGAATTAAACCCTCAATTTTATAATTGGAAGGAAAGGAATTCCTACATCTAGATAACACCTTTAAATCACTTGCAAATTATTCCTCTTCACCCCCTCCCACTTCTACTACTTATCTCATGGAAACAGTAAATAGAGTGTTAAAAACACGTGACATCCCAGATCTGCCAGCCTTATCAGGAGCATGGAGAATATACAATCTCATTGGGAAAAGAGTCCACTTTCATGAGAGGTGAAAGTACACAACATTTCTAAGGCAAAATAATCTGGGAGTACTTGAATGTTACAGACAGCAAGTCATTTAGAAATATATGATTCACCAAAGCTTATCAGACTTAATTTAAAAAAATGATATGACTTACCACCTGGAAATGGGGTGAAGATTTCAGAGCCTATTGGCACAGAGAAATGAAATGATTTATTATTTATAGATTTTCTATTATCATATACGTATACATGCCTACATACATATATGGTATGGAAAGAGATTGAATTTATTCCATGTCAATGAAAAGGACCTTGGGGGTTCTAGCGGTGGGTAGAATATGAGATTAAATGCCCTTTAAGATCCCATCCTGACCTAAGAACTGATGATTCTACCAGGCAAAACTATCAACTTTTGTTTACACATGTATGGATTATCAAACTAGTAGATATTCTATTTGCTTTTTTACCTTGCCCTCAATAAAAACAAGTTTGATAAAAGTCACCTATCTTTTATCTTTTTTGATAAAAGTCATCTAGTAAGAATATGGTTGTGTATTCACCTTAACAATTTAGATTGACATCCCCTACCTCCCCCCCCCCCCGACTTAGGTGAAAGTTCAAAAGGAATGGAGTTAAGTGATGATTTGCAGATTGCAAAGAATCTGCTTGTCATTTAAAAACTATTTTCCCTAATCAAGACAAGGGGAGCATGCTAGACATAAAAGGTGATAGACAACTCTCTATTAATTGCCACATCTTTTCAGTTAAAGTGAAGGGGATATTGTTTCAAATACCTGAAAACATATTCATAAAAGCAAAGGTGCAGTGTTGACTTTCTGTCACATGCATTGAATAAATTTAATATATAAACATCTATATATCTACATAAAAGTCATCTTGGAATAATTGATAGAGTACTGGAATTGAATGAAGGAAAACACAGGTCTTCCCACTTTTATTGTGTAACCAGGGGCGAGTCAACTAACCATTTTCATCCTTGGTTTCCTCATCAGTAAAATAATGATAATAATGATAATAATAATAATAATAATACTTGTCATCTGTATTTCACAAGGTTATTGTGAGTCTCCAATGAGACAGTGTATATGTTTTGCTTAAAGTGCTGCACAAAGATTGGTTTTACTATATGTAAATGTTTGCATATATTCAAGTGCGAACATATATATGCGTGTGTTTTAGATCCGTTTGTGGAGGTGTTGCTGACCAGTTAATGTTATACAAAAGTAAATATTTTTTGGTGGACACAGTGTGGATAGGTCATAATCTATATCATTTACTGGAGGAGGAAGGCAATAATCAATGAAATCAGAGACCTATTGACATTTTGACATAGAAGAATATGAGTCTTACCAGAAGCTCCAGAGCTTTCAAAGTCATAATCTGTGAACGAAAAGAAATGAAATGTTGCATATCAATGGCAAGTCTCTCCTTTTGGGAAAAATGCAGTGATTGGGATTTCCTGTGCCTGGTGCCTAAGCAGGCCTCATAAAATGTGACAGATAATTCTTCTCATTGTGTTATAAAGCGAGTGACTAAAACTACCTTAACATTTAAAAAATTCTCCCTCCTTTCCTCTAAGACAGACAGATGCCTGAAATTTCTAGCAATTGTGGTTGCTCCTAAAGAATTAAGCCTTTGTTACCGGGGAGGGGTAGCTTATTAATTCATTCATTCAAGGGAAGGAATTAGTTTTTCTATTAATCCATTACTACCTATTTAGGGGATGGAGTACTGAAATGGGGGAGGGGATGGAGGACTGAGATGGGGGCCTCAGGGAATGAATAGAATATAAGAGGTTAGTTTTGAAAAGGCCAGATGGGAAAAGGTAGGGGCATAGGAGAAGCAGGGTGGCATAATAGAAAAAAAAATTCACCTTGAGTCAAAAGAATCAAAAGATTCCAATTTTGGCTATGCTTTTTACTTCCTGTCTGACTCCTGTTTCCCATCTCTATGATGAGGGGGTTGAACTAGGTGACTCTGTGAGGGTCCCTTCTAGCTTGAAATTTAGGAAAGAACAGGGTTCTGGATTCCTTGCCCCTCCCTTGTAGGATTTAGCATATAGTCAACTTTACCCTGGTTCAGTGAATTATATTAACAGTTGAAGGGAATCCAAATTACTATAAACTCAGCCAACTGGAATGCTATGAAAGGATTCCTTAATACATCAAGAGATGAGCTCCTAATAACTACTTATAAAGTATATTTCTATATTTTCCATCTGTTATAAATCTAGTGACATATTTCTCTTGCAAAAACATTTTATTACAAGATAAATTAAAATCACATTGAAGATTACAGCCAATCTTTAAAATAATTATCTTCAAATTTCATCATAAATGGATTTCATCATAGAGGGCTCATTTTCTGTGTTTGAAGAATGAAGCCCCTGCAAAATCAGCTTTCATGAGACGTCGTGACCAAAAAATAAAATCACATCTTGCTCAACTTTTAGATATTAAATCTATTTAAGATCCTGAAGCGGCAGACGTTTACCATTCTAGCCATATTCAAAGCCTTTCTAGCTTCTGTAGGACCTACAAATGCTGGCATTCTGCTGGTACCTAGCCTTTGAGAAGGCAGGTTTACCTCAGTTCCCCAGTGAGACATCAGAATAGGGCTTTAATGGAAAATTTATTCATTAAAAAAGATAAGTGAAACTGCACTAATTTTCACTAATGGAGAAGATCAATCAGAAGTGAACAGTTATCGTTATAGGTTGCAATACAATTTCATTATTGCAAGTGATGATATGTGTAGGCTAATCAAGTGTTGCCTAAGTAGAGGTTCACTAATAACTTCTCTTTAATGAATAGATTAGAATGGGAATTTTTAATGTATTTGAGAAGAACTTGTTTTCTTCAATTGTTTAAACACTTTTCTGAACTTACAGCTGTCCAACATTAATTGTTGAATGATCCTCTTTAGATAAAGCAGAGGTAAATTTCAAGCCAGATACTATTCTGGTTGAATTCAGATACACATAAAAAAGGTCTGAAAAGCATATAGAGTTATAGAAATGAAAGCTATCTCTAAATGGCTTGGTCCAACTGAAAAGGCCTTCCATTCTTGAAAACAAACCCCAACGTGGAACTATAGCATGTTGAAATTAGGACAGACTTGGAGAATGAGGAAGCAGTATAGTCATAGATAAGCATCAGACTAGGAACTAGAAAACCTAGGTTTTAGTCCAGGCTTTGCCACTCACTTACTTTGGGCAAGTCACTCTTCCATTCTGGGCCTTGGTCTTCTTATCAAGAAAATGAGCTGGAGTACCCCTGGAGGTTCATCTCTTAAGTTCCATCATTCTGTCTTGTCCTACTCTCCCCTTTCACAGGGGCAATGGTCACATTAGATTAGATGACCAGGAGAACGGGGAGCGAGAAAGTTGACAGGATCATGCATGACTCTTCAGTTAAGAGAGTCATTGAAGTTTTGAAATACGATATAAAGAATCTTTTGAAAGGAGGGGGTGAAGGGGAATTAAGAACAAAACAATTAGTGTTCAAGATGGCCATCACCTTTATAAGATACCACAGTGTTATTACATTTTCTTAGAGGTGACAGCTTGTTGAAGCTACTATAGAACATTTTGCTGGTAAAAATTCCCCTTCTTCTGCATCCCTCCTTACCCCCTCCTCTAATACGGAGTACCTGTCCCCAGGCCTATGCTAAAGAATAAAGGCAGTTCTCTTGGAGGCTGTGGACCATCTCCCAAACTTTCTGACTTTTAGAAAATGCCTGCTCAACCAAATAGGAATGAGGGGATGAAGGAAATACATCAGAAAGCCTAGGCTTTAGTGGAGCATGTTATGATAGAAGCCAATAAGCCAGTGTCTGGGCATAATTGTTAGTGTCATTTAATAGATATCTGAGATAAATAGACTTTGGCTAGCTGATAAGGCCTTTGATGACCTAGACTAGGAAGACAATGTCCTAAAA